TTTCCCTCTAGACTTTATGATATTTTCCTCAAAACAGGCCTGACTACGGCACTATAGTTTGGAATTTCTTACTTGTGTCACAGAAGCCTCCAGAGCGAGTAACGGAGACCAAGTCCCTATGGCTGTTCAGGTGCTGTACAAAAACAGATTGAGAAACACTTCCTTCCACAGTGAGCTTCTAAAGTAAACACACAAGAGAAGCAGAGGAAGCATTATGGGCCAGATTATACAGTTTGGGAAATGAAGTATAGACAGACTGCCCCAAGGTCACGGAGGAGGAGCCAGAAAACCCATCTGGGTTTCCTGCATCTGTGGCCACCTCTATCACAGTGAGGTAGGGTAAGGACTCAGCCAAGGAGAAACCATGGCTGCTTCCTAAAACATCAATGCATCCTGATTCCACGATATAAAGAGATGACAGCATCTGGAAAGCTGCAATACCACTTTAAAATGGCCTATTAAACAATCTTAAAGTGTCCCAATGTCTACGTTGTTTCACTTGCGGACACTACTTGACCTGACCAAGGTAAGAAGTACTGACTTCAGAAGTATTAGGGGTATCCAGAAACTGGTATCCAGAGTGAAGTCTAGATTTTGAGGAGCTGAGATAAGCACAGAGCAAAGAAAATCTTAAAGTAATGCCCTTGTTTTCTTAAGAAAATCAAGATTCACCTGACGGTCTGATTTTTTTCCAGACATTTCACACATACGGACTGATTTTTCCTTCAGACAAATCTGACAGTAATCTGTAGTGACTTTCCCCTGGAGACCATTTATTTCTACATTTTCTCCCTCTCCAGCCACCTGTGATAATCATCTGATAATCCCTTAATAATCTGTAGCATATGTATGATATAATTCTATATACCTTCTAAGTATCTGAAATCATAATATAAAGTTGAAATCAACATGTGCAAAGGGCTTACCCAAGAGCAGGTGTAAAACTGTAGGTTTGCAAAGTTTCTGGCTTTCCTAGCATAAACTTGCACACAGGACTGTAAATTATGAAATTCTTCCCAGATCAACTGTACAGTTTGGACTGTAAAAATAGCCCAAATTATTAAGGAATTTGCTTTTTTTTTTTTTTTTTTTACACTGGAATGAGGACAAGAGTCAAATCGCAAAAGGAGTGGTTCAGGAAGCATAAATACAAATGCACATCCCTTTATAGATTTAATTTTTTTTTTTAATAAGAAATTTTCTCAATTAAAGCTAACAGAATAAAGAACTGACAAGGTCCAGGACCTTTCATAAAACTCTAGTCTGAAGTAGGTGACGTACTTGTGGTTCATTTCCTGTCTACTTCTGAGAACACCAATGTTTGCTTTAGCCTTTTTTTTTCTTGGCTGTTTAAATTTGAAAGGAAATTAATAAGTTTTCCATGGCTCCATCTTTTCTAACTTAATGAGTGTTTTTTTCCCTCCTCTACATCTCCTTCCTCTTTGGCCACCTCTTAAAATACAGAACAATATTAGCCATGTTTATAAATTAAAATTTTGGAATCCCATTGCCCTGTTTAAAATGTCTGTTGCCTCCAAAGAAAAACTGAAAGACTTGTCAATAGTCAGACATCTTAATCAAGGGAAAAAAACATAAAATCCTCTGATTAAATTGTACTACAATAATTTTTTACATTGCAGGCAGGACCAAATATGAATGCTGAGCATCTGTGGTAATAAACTTGATCAATAGCTATAAATATTTGCTAGCCATAGAAACAAATGACGTGCATATCCTCATCTCCAACTGTTCTGGCTTTGCTCTGTGCACCACTAAGTTCATCCCTTTTGGAAGGCTACAGTTGAACAGACTTTATTCTTAGGTGACTTTCTACAGAGTTTTTATCAGTTTAAAATGCAATGGGGTAGACTCAAATTGCAAAATTTCAGCCTACTACAAGGCATACATATCTATACAGACCACAGTGCTGAAGGCTAGACCTCTACAGAGGTCACTGGCACTGGCTATGATTCACAGCCATCATCTTCTTTGGGCTCCATCTAGAGTCTTTGTGGCTCTAAGCATATTATTTTCTGCGTTCTTTTCAGTTCAAAGGTACCTTAAACAACGAGAAGCTTGTGTCGCGGCCCACCAGAATACTGGCTTTCTAGCACATCTCAACCTGCCTTGCAAGTAATATGTAACAAGTGCAAAGCCTGCTGAGGTG